CTTGCTTTGATCTGCTTAGCTCTTGGAAATCCAGGGGCTCTGGGCTGCTGGCCCGGTGCTGCCCAGGATTTTTAGGGACAGCTCTGTCCGCCATTAGGGATTTCTTTCCCGAGAACCCCCTGTAACATTTCGCGAACCCCCAGGAGTTCATGAACCCCAGTTTGGGAATCACTGCATTAGGGTATTCTAGTCCTTTTTAGAGGATGAGGCCTTGGCTACACTTGCAAGTTAGAGTGCATTAAATCAGCCCCGGGCGCCCTAACTCCTGAGGTGTCCACACTGGCAAGGCACGTAGATTGCCAGGACTCCGCGGCTGGAGCACCCCTGGAATCCACCTCCACGAGAAGCATAAAGCTTGCTGCGCCCTGACTGGGGCGCCGCCGTACCAGTGTGGATGCCCTGGTCTATTAATGCTCTCTGATCGGCCTCCAGAAGTGTCCCACAATGCCTGTTCTAGCCACTCTGGTCATCACTTTGAACTCTACTGCTCTGTCCTCAGGTGACCAGTTGTCAGACTCACCCTTTAAATTCTCTGGGAATTTTGAAACTCCCCTTCCTGTTTGCTCAGCAAGGCGTGGAGTGCTCTCAGCGCATCTTTTCAGGTGACCATGCCCCCACGTGCCAAGCGATCCCCAGTATGGAGCAATGGCAAGGTGCTGGACCTCATCAGTGTTTGGGGGGAGGAAGCTGTCCAGTCCCAGCTGCGCTCCAGCCGTAAGAATTACGATACCTATGGGCAAATATCAAGGGCCATGATGGAAAGGGGCCATGACCAGGATGCAGTGCAGTGCAGGGTTAAAGTGAAAGAGCTGCGGAATGCCTACCACAAAGCATGGTACACACCAGGCTCCACAAAGCACATTTGTGTTATGCAAATCGATATCTTCGGACTCCTTACTGTCACTTTGTAGCTTAAGGAGTAACTCGATTGCAATTCGTGATGTGCTGGCAAGACCCATCAGCATATTTCTCACAAGTTCAGAGTGCGTGGTACAAAAAACGTTGAAAGATGGTGCCAAATGTGGACAGAAGCACACGGATTGCTGGGATGCGAAGCAATGCATCACGGGGCATTGGGACAGGACCCCGAATGCCCCGCACCCTACATCCCCCTTCCCACAAGCCACAGCGCCAGAATGGGAAGAGGTGTTCTGTGCGATAGCTGCCCATAATGCACTGCTCCCAGTGCCGCTGCAAATGTGGCTATGCCACTGCGCTTGCAGCTGACAGTGTGAACACACGGCAGCGCTTTCACTGCTGCGGTCTCCAAGGGCTGGTTTAACTCCTGGCGCTCTACATCTGCAAGTGTAGCCATGCCCTAAGTTTTCATTTACTGGTGAATCAATTAGGCTGGCTTTTTTGTAAAATGTTTTGAGATATTTAGAGTATGAAAAAGCTATAAGAGCCTAGTTCTATTCAAGAGATAAGTTAGGAAGATGGAGCTCAAATTGTGTTGAATAAATGGCATTCCTGTTCATTATATATCTGATTCTAAAACTTTACCATTTACTTAGGTTTGTAGAAAATGGGCATTTCACACATACCAACTTGAGCTGGAATCTACCAATGTGCTGGTTTTCTATATAAATATGGGCTAGTGCACTTCAGTTCCATTCTTAACTCTTTGCTTCATGACCAGAGAAAATTAACTTCCCTTTGACTCTGTTTACTCATCTCTAAATTGGGAATAACAAATAATGTGTGCCTACTGTACATAGGGCTGTTGTGAGAACTAGGCTCCAGTTTTGCAACTGGATGTGTGGGCACGTTGCGGAATCAGGGGCTTGGTTTTTAAAGCACCTAGAGATTGTCAGATGAAAGAGGAGCTCTGCTCTAAGGGTGGGTTTATGCTACAAAAAAACCTTGTCTTTAAATCTCCCGCTGGTGCAGCTGCGCAGCAGGAGTGTAGCATGTGTGGAGGCCGATGGTTGTAAAACTTCAATGGGATTGCACAAATAGTTAAAGTTAAGCATGTTCATGCATGTTTGCAGGATCTACCCATTAGGTCTGCATCCTGAAATATTCTCTGAAAGGGTGGCCCCCTGTGCCCTTACAGAGCCCCATTCACTTCCACATACCTGCCAAAGTCTGCCTGCCTGTATCTTATTAGGTCATAGTTTGTACCGCTGTTTACCATAACTATAAACTGTAAGATTAGTTTGAATGAGAAATTCCTATAAGCTTATTCAGTATTCTGATGCTTCGTCCCCTAACCCTCCACCCCATCACAGATACAGCTTTAGTTCTGTCCCATGAGCCATGTGCAGCATTCTAGCTGCAGTGTTTCCTTTGAAAATTGCCTGGCATCTTTTTGGAAATAATTACAATTTTAATGCACAAGCTGGCTTTGTCCATTTATAATATTACTGTTTCCAATAATATCCCTGCTGATCTCATGGAAGAAAAAACAGTAATGAAAAAGATTCTTGGGTTTGCTTCAGCTGACATGAACAGTAAGTTCTCTCTGATCTTTCTTTTTCTTTCCCCCCCCCCCCCCCCATCAAAAATGCTTAGGGAAAAATGATATACTCTGATCTGCCCATGGAAATCTGCACATGTTGGAGAGAGCAACATTTTGGAGAACAGATTTTTTCCTTAAAATGATAAAACTCCTTTGAAGATCTTAAAGGGCCACATTCTCCTATAGTTATTTTAAAGGGACAGTCTCATCTTAAAATCTAATTAGTTTCAAGTAACAAATTTATGGTTGTTTCAGTACTATACTGTCCCTGAGTCCCTCTGCCAATTTTTTTGACTTTCAAGTTATTTACTTATTTTTAAAATGTTTTTCTTCTCATTTCTTGTTGTGTGAAGGAGTCCTGCAAAAAATAGAGAAAAGCAACTATGGCCCAGATCCTGCAAGCTGATCTGTACGGATGGATCTTTGTACTCACATGGAGCCTCAGTGATTTCAGGGGTTCCACACTGACACAAGTGTCCACCCACATGGCTCAGCACTAATTTGGTATAAACATAGTGCTGTCATGGACAAAGTAAACAAATGAAAACAGTAGACATACATTTTTTTCTCAGATGATCTCTTTCAGCTATAGTAGTCTAAGGTATTACCTGTAACCAAAGTAAATGTAACATTTTAAAAAAAAATGGTTGAAAATAAATATTTTGGAGGAACGGCTATTAACTGTTCACCTTGTTACATTTTATTATGTAAAGGAATCAGAGACAAATGAGTTTTAAAAAGAAAAATTTGACAGATTTGTTAAGCTAAATGTACTTCTATGCCCACATCACTGTAAGAAACTCTTACTCCTGTAACCCTTATTTTCCTCACACATTCCTCTACCTGTTGTTTGTTACCCTCTCATTATATCGCATCTTCAGCTAAGATCCAGTCCTGTACATTTGTGCATAAGTAGGATCAGGACTTTAGGCTTTAAGTCCTTCAGGGCAGGAATCTCATGTGTTTTTATTGTTCTTTTCCTATAAAGCAACTAGCAAACTTTTGGATGCTGTAAAAATAATAATCATTTTTACAGCACCAAAAGACCATTTTGCACTTTACAGATGGAAATATAGACGTATTTCCCTAATACTAACTAATACTTGTGCATATCTATCAGTGATAGCACAAAGAGGAGCATTAGTAGTTGCCTTTGCATAAAGCATTCTCATCTGGTGCTGCCCATACTAGCTCTGACTCTCTAGAAGATGCAGTACTTACAACTTTGATGGCCACCAGCAACCTGTTTATACTAGCATTTCCTCTGTTGCTACCACTGCTAGTGCAATCACAGGATATTTTAAGAAAAATGCTATAGTAGATAAGACCACAAATAGTAAGAAGACATGGGCCAAACCTGAGCTACAAGTGCACATTGTTAATCCATGCCTGATTTCTGTGGGTGCAGTTGCACCCACAACATGGACCCAAGTTAAAGCTGCCCCAGGTAAAACTTTAAAAAGTGCCTTTAAGTGAGTCTCGGACTCCCTTTTGAAAATGGGATTTAGGTTCCCTAGTCACTTTAGCACTTTTGAAATTTTACCCTCAGGTGCCTGCCCCAAAGAGTCTGTGGCTTCAGTTTTTCAAACAGACATGAGCTTAACTTTGCACACATGAGCAGTCTCTTGGAGGTCAGTGGAACTATTCACATGCATAAAGTTAAGCACCTCTGCAGGATCAGGGCCAATGTGACTGAGCAATGAAGTTTAACACACATCTTAAGTGAGGTTCTTACCCACGAAAGCTTATGCTCCCAATTCTTCTGTTAGTCTTAAAAGTGCCACAGTACCCTCTGTTGCTTTTAACACACATCTTGTTATGGTTCTGTGGTCTTGGATATTCAGTGGTTTGGAGATATATATATCTCCCTCCCTTTTATATATTTTTATATATATATAAAAAAATAAATTCTTGTCAGCCAGTTGAATATGATGTTGAGGGGGAGGGTTTAGTTGTCTCCTGGAAGAAATGTGTTTTAACCAGGAGAGGGGGTGGGCATAGAGGGTTGGGTTAGGGAGTGGACTTCAGCATAGGGAGAAAGCAAGGAGGTCTGCCAAAAGCTCACACACTGAGAAGGAGGGCTCATTTGTTTGGGTATTAATTTTAAGGCAGCTTATACACGTTCGGAAGAGTTTTGCTGTGTGTTTTTAGTCAGACAAATGCAAACTCGCTCATTCACATTGTCCCTGCCTGACAGCTCTATACCTCAAGTGCTTGTAGCAAGTAAGCAGGCAGGCACTGAGCAAACTCATTCCTTATTTCAGCGCCAAGCTCTCTCTCCACCTTTAGTATCCGGGGGGCGGGACGGGGGGGGGTCTTTACCGGTGTTACCGGTTTTTCTAGCCTTGCCTTTGAATAGCAGCAGCACCGGAGTGAGTCACTGTTTGGAAATGGAGGGGGCGGGCGTGTGTAAGAGAATGAATGATGTCAGGCAAGATCCAGGCTCGGGGGGGAGCAAAGAGCATGAAACTGACTGTAAACACAGCAGCACGCAGAGAAAGCTGCCTCGAGTTTCCCCCCGCCCTCCCTTCTGCCTGGAGCCGCCCTCAATCAGGAGAGCTTCTCCAGCTGTAGCATTGCTGAGGTAACAGTGCATACGGATCTGGCAATCATTTCAAGGAAACCTTACTAGAAGTATCGCCCTCCCCATTGTCCTTAAGGCCAGTCTCTGCTGCCAGGAAGGAGAGGAGAGGCGTAAGAGGCTGTGAGAGAAGAGAATTGCAGGAGAAGATAAAGGTGTGGGCAAACTTTCTAGCTGCTTCTTCAGCTACCACCCCAGAAGTGGGAGTGTCTGTGTCTTTGGCCATAAAGAGCTGCAAAGCCCAAATGTCAAAGAGTCCTGAGGCTGCAAAGGAGACTTCCCTGCTGCCTTTGGAGGAGGAACTACCTTCAGCTCCAGTGCTTCCTTATGCAACTAAGTGGGTACGTTGACAATGACACAAATCAATACAACTTTGTATTCTGCAGAGTAAGGATGGGAATGATGGAATGTGGCTTGTTACTGACGTGTACCACGACAGCCTGAGTATTTCACATAAGATGTCCAAAACTAGACTGGACAGAGTACTAGAAAATGCAACTGTAGAGAACAATCGTGCATTGGCAAGGTAATCTAATAGGTCTTTTTCATTTCTAACATGATTTATTAATTTCTTTTACAGACTGTTCACTTCCTTCTGCCAAATCATTTTTACCTTTTTTAAAAAGTGTTTCTTTAACGGGGGGGGGGGGAATAATGTAAGTGTATGAGTGATACTATAGGCTGCTTTGTTTCTCTTATAAATGCCTATTTAATGTGGGGAACAGATTTATGTATCTTTTTAAAATGTACATTTGTTACCCAAGAGTTATAATGGGACCCTTTGGAGCCATGCTACGTGCATATTTGAGCAATGGTTTGTAAGAACTTTTTAAAGTTCTTAACTTTTTAAAATGTTTGTACATTCTAGACCACAGTGGCTTCGTAAAGTCCGCTTCTTGCTCCTATTGATGCTCATGGGACTCTTGCCAATGCCATTGGCTTCAGTGGGAGCATGTCTGGCTATAAATCTTTATGATTTATATTCATTGGATGAATGCATACCTAAAATGCACTTTTTGCAGAGTAAAATAAAACTTAAAAATCCTTATGAAATGTAGTTACAGCACAGGAAAAACTGATTGAAATGTAGAATATTGGTAACTTTTTTTTTTGTTTTCTTCAAAAACCAAGTGATTAGATCATACTATGGACTAGTTGCTTTTCAACTTCTTTTGCAAACAAAACCGTCTTTAGTGCTTTGACCTTTATAAAATCAAATAAAACAACCCAAACTTCTCAAACCAGTCAACTTTTTTTATATTCAGGACTCAAGAACCAGTGAACAGTTTGTTTTTGATATTGGAAAGAAAATTCTATTCTAAAAATGTCCATCAAGTTTTGTTTGAATGAAAGCTTCCTATCAGCTTATAACCCTATAAATAGATGTTTATACATCTGAAATGTTAATATTGTAATGATATCTCAGTGGGACTACTACTGCTGTAAAGTTAACCAAGTGTTTAAAATGTGCAGGATTGGGGCCTACAGTAGCATTAACAGTCGCCATTTAAATTAAAATATAGTCCTCATATTTGGGTTAAATTAAAGAATGATACATTGCAGTGATAGAAAGTATAATGTGTTTTCATTCTCCCTCTTTGGATCTTATATTTACAGAAGGTGGTAGTTCTGTATTGGAGTTAGGTATTAGGCATTAGAGTGTAGTTATGGTGTTTAGAGGTGCTGTTATTTGAGAGATTATTTTAATGTATCTTTTGTAGGAATAAATTCATTTACCTTTATAAAATTAGGATAGGGTTTAGATATGTAAGTTAAATAAAAGCTCATCTAGAGCCTGATCCATTGCCCATTAAAGTCAATGGGAGTCTTTCCATTGGTTACAGTGGGCATGGTATAGGGTCCTTAGTGCTGTTGGGGAAGACTTCTTAGTAGGGACCCTTGATACCTAAAAAATATATGGAGATGTTTCTGTGTTCTTCCCAAGGATATTAAAAAAATGTTCCATACAAAGTAGGCTTAGTAAGCGGTGGCATTTGGAAACCCTAAAATTTTAACAGAGATGGGGCTTTTCCCAACTGTATTCAGTAAGTTTTATGCTGTTGGCCCAAGAATTGCAGAATGAAGGAACAACCAAGACTTCCAGACTTTCATGCTCTGGTGGGCATCTAGTGAGCATGATGGGTCTCTGGATAGTGATACTCTTTATGTAGTAGCCAACTAAGAAAACCAATCTTTCAAATGAGCTCACAGAGCAGAGAGGACAGTAGTTAGGGCACAAAATGAATGTGAGAGAAAAAGTATGACCAGAAAACAGGAGTGTGACGCTCAGTAACATTTCAAAATAAAAATGTTAGTTAGTCTGTACGCAACTTGAGTTTTCACAGGCTTTTTAAAGAAACTCCTGTTTTTTGAGCTTTGGTTGAGGAGTTAACTGTTGCGAATGTCCCTTTCCAGGCCATAAAACCTCCTTCTGATTAACTTTTTTTAACCTTACAAACAAGCTAGTTCTCACAATTAAGGGCCAAATGCTGGTTTCGGTTGCACTGATAACAATTGTCTACAATGGAGTTATTCCTTGTTTCCACCAGCAATACTGAGAACGGAATTTCAACCAAGGTGTTTAGATTCAACAATGTAATTCTACTGTGGCCCTCATTACAAGACTTTGAAATTACAATCTGCATTGCCAGTTTGGATTTATGCACACACTGTATTCTCTATCAGCATCTCCTGTCATTTTGTTCTCCTGAAAAAGCAATAATTTATATAAAATTACTTATGCTCCATTTTAGGACTCACCCTGTAATCAATCCCCACTGACTGAAATTTTCCATTGACTTCAAGGGGAGTTCTGTGTGCAAAATTATTGCTGATTGGGCACAGTAATTACATATCAATATACTTTCACTGAAATTATTTCTCTTCTGAATTTTGCCAGATACCTCAGATTTTAAAAGTGCCTGTATTAAGCAAAATTTAACAGTAGACAATTATCTGAACACAGTTTCCTGAAAGACACTTCTCTTATCAGTCACAATACAGAATATTTCTCTGGAGACCCAAATTATACATCAAGAATACTGTAATTTGTAACACTTTTTTTTGTGTGTGTGTCTAAATAGATACCATATTTAGAGGCAATCTGTTAAGCCACACACTTACCACCTAAGTTTGCAAATGTCATGAGTTTTTTTAGGAGTTGTTTGCTTCAGCAATGTACACTAATATATCGCAGATAATATTCTACCATACCATCAGCGATTTGCCACCTCAAACTCCAAAGGTTAACAATACCTAAACTCTCAGCGTTGATATCTGTAAGCATAAAACCATTTCCTCTGTCACTAAAGGTCTCTTACAATAGGAAGAGATATTAATAGGCTGTGATTATTATGAGGCAATTGACACCCTGGGGCATTAAAACTATATAGTCACACCTTGTAAGGAGCCTGTCTTCTTGGCTAATATAAACTTATTACTTGGACAAAAGTCAAGTTGAGTTATTTGAGAAGGAAGTGCAGGATTGGGTCCACAAATACAAACCTAATTTATATTCCTAGAACTTTATTCTATTTTGCCAAGTAACTTCTGTGCAAAGGAAGTGACTAGTCTGTTTTCATTATCTGTGCTGAGAAACATACAAAAAGTACACAAACAGAAAAAAGTAGGAAACAATTATATTTTTAGATTCTTCCTATTTATTGACACAAGTCAGTATCTCTTTAAAACTCCCTCTTTATATTCTTTAGCCTCTAGGAACAGTGTTCTGGAGTACTACTCTTCTAAATTTTCTTTTCTAATACAAGACTTTACTGTGAAGCTGAAATTATTAGTAACCAATTTTTGTTTAATTTATACTTCTATAGGCTATCAGTTCACAAGATAGTTTCACAATATTAGTATAGGATAGACAATGCAGACAGTATGACACTTTATTTAGTATGGTTACAATACTACAGTACTAACAGATGCTGGGAAGTTTAATATAACAGACACTACTGTCTTCACAGATCTGTGTCTGCTGGGAGAATTATTGTACCATGGACACTACTGTCCCAGAAGATGCTGTGAGACTTTAGGAGCTAAAACAGGCATTGATGGGAAAGTTTATGTAACACAGATACTACTGTCTTCTCGGCTCTGTATCTGCTGAGAGAGCTGCTTAACCATACTGGGCATTACTGTTCCAGCAGATGCTATGATATTTTAATGACAACAGGCCCCACTGTCCCAGCATATCTTTGTTTGCACGATCACTGTTACAGATTGTTAGTATGTGTATGTGTAACATTCACACTAATAGAAAATAGTGTAGCTATAACAGTGTAGCTACAATGAGGCTTAGTTCCACTGAGATTTGTATCCGTGACCGTAAGTATTTGCTAATATAGGTAGAGAGCCTCCTGGGTTTCCAATGGAGAGCAAACCAATCAAGCATTTTGCAAAATGAGCTGCTTCCTAGTAATGTGCAGGGTGGGCAGCAAAATTTTTCCACAGTGCACCATGGTCCTAGTGCTAGAGCAGCCACATTTCAAGGGTAGGGGGTGCTATGGACTCTGGGATATGGTTACTTTGACTCAGGTTTGTGCACTGAAGAGTGGACACCAGAGTCCTAGGTTTGGCATAGATTAGAAAAGTCTTAACATAGGGTTAAAATACAATGTAGATACTCAAGCCCCAGGATTCCTTAATAAGGGTCAGCTGACTTGAGTTCCATTAACCCTGGGCTTATATTGCAGTGTAGACATAGCCAAAGTAGGAATTATTTTCTGATTAACTGAATGAGTGATACACTCTGTCTAGGCAAGTTCCTAACACTTTAGCAAGGTAGCTAACACCATAGTTAATGGGTCAGTTGTCATTACCGTCAGTGTGCCACTGTATCACTGCTGAAAATGGTAAAAGGTTATTTTACAAATTCTGGTAACTTTCAAGTGAGAAAACTCCTTTCACCCAGTGTAGTTCAATGTTATCTCTTTCCTGGAAATAAGGTACCATCTTGTTGCTATTGGAACACTATACCAGTTTTGGAAAGCAAAGGGGTCAAATGTAATTTGTAAACATTGTATATACATCATCTTGGTGTTGATGTCTGATTTTTCTGTAATTGCTGAACTAACTAGGTATAGAAAGCCTGAAAGTAGAATACATTTTAGGCCATAGTGTGTAGCTGTGTTCCCTCAAAACTAAAAGCAATTTGCGTACCCAAAATATTATTTGTGTTTTCTTTATTTATATAGATTTCTTTGGTATATATCACCATTGTATCTGAACACAATAAAACCACTAATTTATCCTGACAACATCAGGGAGGTATTATTAGGGATCGAGAAGTTAAGTGATTAGTCCAAGGTCAAACAGGAGATCTCTGGCAGGAGCA